GCTGGTGTTGGTGCTGGTGCTGGTGCTGGTGTTTGTGCTGTTGTTGTTGTTGTTGCTGCTGGTGCTGGTGCTGGTGCTGGTGCTGGTGCTGGTGCTGGTGCTGGTGCTGGTGCTGGTGCTGGTGCTCGTGCTCGTGCTCGTGCTCGTGCTCGTGCTCGTGCTCGTGCTGGTGCTCTTGGTGTTGGTGTTGGTGTTGGTGTTGGTGTTGGTGTTGGTGTTGTTGTTGCTGTTGCTGTTGCTGTTGCTGTTTCTGTTGATGCTGTTGTTGTTGCTGTTGCTGTTGCTGTTGCTGTTGCTGTTGCTGTTGCTGTTGCTGTTGCTGTTGTTGTTGTTGTTGTTGTTGTTGTTGTTGTTGATGTTGATGTTGATGTTGATGTAGTGGTTTGGGTCTAATTCGGGTTTACATGGTTGAGGATGGCGGTATAGTCTACCTTAAACCCTAAACCCTAAACCGCTGATTTCAGACAACATTTTGACTCGGCCATCTGCAGATTCTCAGCGACCGCTGATGTATGACTCCATCCAAGAGACGGGAGCCCAAGTGAGGGGGTTCCCTAAACCCTAAACCCTAAACCCTAAACCCTAAACCCGAGACGGGAGCCCAAGTGAGGGGGTTCAGGGTGTCGGGAGTCTCAGAGAGAGTGGCGCATGAGCAGGTTATGTCTTTCGGTAATGTGACCATATGGTAAACTTTTCGACAAACTGTTCGACTATAGCAGGTTTATCACCCTCTATATTGATACAAAACCCTAAACCCCTAAACCCCTAAACCCCTAAACCCTAAACCCTAAACCCTAGGGATCCCAGTTTAGGGTTTGGGGTTTAGGGTCAGGTCTTGGGGCTGGACCATTGCCAGTGCGCCGCTTCGGGTTTAGAGTTGGTGGCATGGGTCCATTTATGATTGGGCGCTGGCACAGGCGATCATGTAAGGGCCTAAACAATTACCTACACTATTTTGACGGTTCCTTGTTATAAGGGTATAATTGGGCCCCACAACCCTATTCTTATTATTAAGGCCCCTACATTAGCCACGTGCATCGGTGGGACCTGTTTTCCGGAGCCTCCGGGCCGGGACGGGTCATACCAATGGATCCGGCCACAACTTGGACCTACGCCGCTGCGACTCCATGCTGACATCCTAAACCCTAAACCCCCTAAACCCTAAACCCCCTAAACCCTAAACCCCTAAACCCCCTAAACCCTAAACCCCTAAAGCCTAAACCCTAAACCCCTAAATGGTCTGGCTCACATTTGGTTCATTGGGGCAGAAGAGGAGTGCTGAGTGTACTGCCCGCTCACTCAGATGAACTCGAATTCGAGCTTCGGCTTGATGGTGTTCTCGGAGGCTTGACAGCTTTACCTAGGGTCTCCGTTGTAGTTCCTTTTTTGGTTTAACCAATTATATATTTGGGATCCTATAAGGTCCCCCAAAAAGGAACTACAATGGAGACTATAGGTACATTCAGTGGGCGCCTTGTTCATACAACTCAGTGCCAATATGTATGTTCTGACTGCTGCTAGCATCTCTGTCATACCTACAGTACGCAAGGAAGGAGTCTAAAGTGAGATGACGAAGGCTGCGGCTTAGGATATACGACTCGTAATCTGAAGAACGCTGGGACGCAACATTCAAATCCTAGCAGCCCACAGTTCGCCAAAGCCGTCCGGGGCGCCACTTCTCAGACTGAGACAACAGCCTCATACCTGTCAACTTTGGGTTTAGGGTTTAGGGTTAATCCCTACAGCTAGAACACCCCTAGACCCTAAACCCCAAACTGTTGGAGACTCGGGCAGAGGACTCACAAGCACGCCTGGCCTGCAGCATGAGCCCGTGTAAGACTGCTGCCTGCACCTTCGCCCGCGGGCGCTTTCGGGGTGCACGGCTTTAGCCTAATATAGGTGTCGGAGTACTTAACAAGACTCTCCCCTTGTTGCTGACATGGCTGTGCTTTCGTATACTCCAAAACCTAATCCAAGTATTAAAGCCCCCCTTAGGGGGCCTAAGCCCCTGCATTAGAACCCTAAACCCTACACCCAACGACAGGCTCCTCCTGGTAAGGAATTCTACTGTACATGCAGTTGGAAAAGGGCCCATAAACAAAATAAACTACCCTAAACCCTAAACCCTATATAAACCCCTAAACCCTGGCTGTACATGCCATAGACTCTGGACCCCTCCCTCGCGAAGTACTCAGAGCAGCTTCATGGTAAGTTTGTTGTTCGAGAAGTTCGGGTTAGAGACTCTCTAGAACAGATCGCGATTGTAACAAGGAGCTTCCCATGGCCTTTCTTTCAGAGGGTTCTTTTAGGGTTTAGGGTTTAGGGTTTAGGGGGTTCTTATTTCTTGCAGTCATGGTTTCGTTGTTGGAGGTGTCATCTTTTGCAGACCGCAAACCCATAACATGTCACACCTCCAGGCGAATTTGGTGCTGTGCAGCTCGGACAACTTCCCGGATGGGGAATGGCCCCAGGGACGACGGATCGCTAGCCTGGCAGTGATTTAACGGGTTTGCTGCTTTCGTTTGTGATGGCCGCGACCCGTGGATTTCGAAAAATCACGTCGAAAACAAACCCTAAACCCTTCTACCCAAATTCCTAAACCCTTGTTACCCTAAGGCCTTCTTCCTAAACCTGTGGCAAAAGTGTTCTTATGCTTTTGGTGCTGGGGGCTTCGAGCTGTTTGGCTTAGGCTTTTGATCTGGGGCCTAGGGTTTGTGAACTATTTGGTCGGCGCCATATGGGCAGGGTTCCGGGGGCTTTAGGGGTTTAGGGGTTTAGGGTTTAGGGTTTTGGGGTTTAGGGTTTAGGGTTTAGGGCTTAGGGTTTATGGTTTAGGGGTTTAGGGTTTAGGGTTTGAAGGTGTTTGGGGCTTACGGCTTTGTGATCGACCAGGTTGAGGAGATGATCGGCGGTAAACTGGAAGAGGTGCTGCCCGATGCATCCACCACCAGGAGCTATCAGGCTCACTCCATCCACCGGGCTAAGGTGCTGGAAAAACGGGCTACTGATGCCATCAACCAGTACATGAACAGCCTGGAAGGCTGGATGAACTCGAGTCCTGCCCTGGCAACGCTGTTGGCAGATGAGAGGGTGGTGGTGAAGTATATCAAGGACCTGCACGAAGCCTTGAAGATGATCGCTTCCGCTGTGCCCTTCGCCGACAGGGAAGCTGGTGGTGGGGAGTCGATGCTCGCTGGCTTAGAGAAGAATATTGCTGACGACAAGCTGTCAGAGCATTTTTTTGAATCACCTTGCCATCCTGTTTTGGTAGAGATTACGGCTTTAGGGTCAAGATTTAGGGCCCCTCGCCAGAGAATTTCGACGGGCCTCGAAACCTAAACTCCATATGCCATAAGCTCTACAACACTTGGCGTTCTTCTGGTTGGCTGTTAGGACTTTAACATTTTGGGTTTATCTATGAACTTTGTTGTTAAGCCGGCTGAAAGTTTAACCTTTTCGAGGGGTTCAGAAGTCAGCCAAGAACACTGCACCGCAGTCCATGATCAAATCGAAAGCATGCAGTCTGCAAGCTTGATGTCCACAAAGGCTCCCTGAACCCTAAACTTAGTTCTCTAATACCCAACCTTCAAACTTTTTGCGTTCTTATAATTTAGTAGCAATCTGAAAGTTTAAACTGTTATTTCCCTGGCTTATTGGCGGAGTAAGTAAAGCCCTGCTGCAAACTCTGACCTTCGAGCCTGATTGGTCGAAACCCTAAACCCTAAACCCTAAACCCCTAAACCCTAAACCCTAAACCCTAAACCCTAAACCCTAAACCCCTAAACCCTAAACCCTAAACCCTAGCGATTGGTCGAAAGCCGAGACGATAAGAGCTGAGGAGCTGCGACTTGTTGAAGTTTGGGGGTCGAGGGGTGGGTTCCTCAGGGTGTTAGGGTTTAGGGTTTAGGGTTTAGGGTTAAGATAGAAGCCTAAATAATTACCAATACTATTTTGGGGGGTTGTTATGATAATTATGGTATAATGGGCCCCAAAACCCTATTAAAATCATTCAGGTCCCTACATTAGGTCTTAACTTTTGAAGGTTAGCGGGCTCCAGATCCGGCGTATCCTGCTCGTTAAAATTTCCTTACGGCAGTCTGTTTTGAGTTTTATGCTCTGTAAAGGGAGCCAGCCTGGAGGACGAGATCGAAGTCCGAGGGGCTGAGAATAGGGTTTAGGGTTTAGGGTTTCGGGTTTAGGGTTTAGGGTTTAGGGTTTCGGGTTTAGGGTTTAGGTCTAAGCCCATTATAG